AAAGTAGTTGTATGTACAACGAAGAACAATAAAAGCAGGGAAGGGGACAGTGAGGGAGTGCGGGAAGAATGTCATTTGCAGCACGATGGCCCTCAAAGGCCACCGTAGGAGGGGCATTTGAGAACTTTATGCATCAGAAGAGGGAAAACGGAACCTGGGAGTCAGCTTGCTGCTGGTGCGCCGTGTCCTTGGCTCCACGTTCAAACACTGGTCTCCAGGGCTCTGCCCCACTCTTGATTTTAAAAACAGACGTTTTCCTGAATGGATCCACCCCGAAGGCTGTGCCTTCTTCCGGGCCTGGGCTCTTCTTTGAGCCCCCAAGTCCTCTGCCAGGTGTTGATTCCAGACTCCTATTGCACCATTAGCACTTGAGTTCTCTCCTTTCTACTTCAGTTCTGACCGTTACCCACAAAACCAGAAGGTGAAGATTCCTCATTTGCTTTTTTTGTTTGTTTGTTTGTTTGTTTTGAGACAGGGTCTCGCTCTGCAGTTCAGGCTGGCCTTGAGCTCACTTTGTAGCCCAGGCTGGTCTCGAACTCACAGTGATCCTCCTGCCTCAGCCTCCCGAGTGCTGGGATTACAGGCGTGTGCCACCACATTTACCTCGTCCTGCTCATCTCTTTTTCTTCCAGTGTCACTATTCAACTGCACACTCTCTCCCACACATCAGGCTTTTTTTTGAGACAGGGTCTCACTATAAAAAAAAAAAAGCAAATTCTAAAAAACTTCTTTGTCTCAAATTATTTATGTAAAGGTGAAGCTGATGAACTTAGTAAAACTATGTCATTGACTCCAAAGTGGCTCCAGCGATAACGCCTGCATTGGTAATAAGGACGTGTGAAAATGGAAAAGATTAACAGTATTTCTATTTTTTTCTTGGTCCTGGAAATCAAACTCAAGAGCTTGTGCTTGCTCGGCAGACACTTGTGCCACTGAGCTATATCCCCAACCCCAACAACAGTATTTCTAAATTAGGATATTTTAATAGGTTTCTGTATCACTTTCAGCATATATGTGAAAATAAAGTAATGCAAATAGCATACAGAATACACTGCATGTTAGTGCACTAAGTTACCTGAAATGTACTCTCACTATGCAAACATTATTAAATATTCTTGTTGTGCAGAAATTAATTCTTGTTTTTAAGAAATCGGAGTAGAATGGGAAAGAAAGGGTATGCCAAGCAGAATGTATCAAAATAAATATTTATTGACGTTTGAAGCTTTACATAGACCTTTAACAGCAACTGTGCGAACGTGGGCAATTACAGAAGTCCACCCCGAGCCTCTGCCCTTTAGTGAGGAGAAACGAGTACTGAGGTCAGCAGTGCCACCGCCATCAGCACAACGGAACGGAGGTCTGCCAGGACGCACACAAGTCATTACTTTAAATGTCAGGTACTATCCTTTACAGCTGTAACTCCAAACACCAGGAGGCCAGCCATGTTCAGACAGCTGTCTCCCCCTTCCCTCAGGAGTAGCGGTATATAAATACACTCCCATCTTTCTGTCCGGCCAGCAAGCGAGAATCTGGACCTGACCATTTCACGAAAGACCAGCTGCGGTCAGGGCTGGCAGGCGCGAGAACGGTGCAGCGGCCTAGAAGCAAGTCCCAGACGGCGGCCGCGCCGGAGGTCAAGACCGCCGCTGCGAGGTGGCCCTTCACGTCCCCCTCCAGGAACCTGAGGCCACGCAGAAGAAAGGTAATTCAGAGCTGTAAAACACACGAACGCGCAAGCCCAAACCACGCCGCCGAAGCGCTGCCTGGGACAGAACGCCCCGTGACCGGGACGGCGAGGCGGGCGACCCTACAGCGCCCGGCCCACGGCCGCTCGGGACGGCATCCCACGCCCGGGCTGCCCGCTGAGGCCTCTCGCACCACCTCTCCCAGCAGGCAAGAGCAGCCTCCCCTCGGCGGCTCTGCTGTCCCGGTGCCCTCGCCCCACTGGGTGCTGTCCTCGGCTCAGCACGGCTGAGCTCTCCCCACCCTTGAGGCCCGTCACTGCCACAGACAGGCCACGCGCAGTCAGCGACATGCCGCGCACACGCGTGGCCTCTGCGCCTCTTTCGTACGCTCCGCTCTTATCTTCATGCGTTTCGCACAATAGGATGACGTGATTTTCACACGCACTGGGCACCCCAGGAAAATGTGAGCACCAGGAAGCAGAAAGCTGCCTGTCCTTTAAAGACAATGGCACTGCGGCCAGCTCTCCGGGTCTGAATGCTAAGCTCACAAGGGATGTGTGACAGCGGGCGAGTTCATTTCATCAGCAGAACAGGGATGATGGTGAGAGTGCTTCACAGGGCTGCCGTAAGGCTGAGCAAACAGTTCACGTGAGAAACGGCCCAACACACGGCGCACAGGAGCGCTCAGCACAAGGGAGCTGCTGCTGTCACGCGCTGTGAGGGCGCAGTGGGGGAGTGCCGTCCGTGGGCAAGGAAGGGACCGGACACGGGCTCTGCCCTGCCTTCATTCTGGACTTCCTGGCTTCCAGAACTCTAAGAAATAAACGTCTATTACTGTAAGCTACCTGCTAGCTAGTGTTTTGCTACGGCATCCCAGATGGAGTAAGACACGTTTCTTACAGTTTTGATGCCAGATAGTGACAAAATAAAATAAAACAAATAAAAAATGAAAAGTGACAAAATAAATATTTCGTCAAGTAGGTACTGTTCCCTCCATTCTAAGACAATGAATGTCTTACGGTTCTCTCTTTATGTTCGGCTGGGTGTGGTGGCGCACCCTTGGAGTCCTAGCACTCAAGAAGCCGAGGGAGGAGGATCACTGGGTGTTTGCAGCCAGCCTGTACTACAGTGAGACTGTCAAAAAACAAAAACAAAGGTACAGAAGAAGCAAGCAAGCCGTGTCTAAGCACGTTCTGCAAATGAAAGTTCCGAGGTTCCTGATAAGAGCGCTTACAGAGCCCCAAGGTTCCTGATAAGAGCGCTTACAGAGCCCCACGTCTGGCTGAGAAGACAAGCAAGCACTGCACAAGGCCCAGAGAAACACGCGCGGTAACCGCGAGGTCTCCTTGTCCTTTGGGTTATCAAAGCCAGACTCTGTGACTTTGTGTGTGTGTGTGTCTCTTGGAGACAGGATCTCGCTGTGCAGTTCAGGCGGGCCTTGAGCTCACTTTGTAGCCCAGGCTGGTCTCGAACTCGCAAGGATCCTCCTGCCTCAGCCTCCCGAGTGCTGGGATCACAGGCGTGCGCCACCACGCCCGGCACGTGATCTTGATTTATTTTGTCTAGTTTCAATCCTTGCTGTTAAATTTCAAACATTAGTAAAAGGAGCCTCCAAGACTTACACATTCAGATGTTTCCTGATTGACCTAGTAATTCCAGCACTGCTTCAAAGCTCTATACAGCTCAGAAAACGCTTGGAATGCTAATAAGCTGTGTACCTGGAGTTGGTCAAGAAATACATAACAGGGGCCGGGGATTTAGCTCAGTGGCACAGCGCCTGCCTGGCAAGCGCAAGGTCGTGAGTTCGGTTCCCGGTACCGGAGAAAAACCAAACAACAAAAAAAAAAAAAGAAATACATAACAGCTGCCCTCCTGTACCATGGAGGCCCGATCAGATTTCAAAGCGAAGATGTTTGCTAAGTCCCTTTACCAGTTCCTTAGTTTAGGTCTATGAAAAGAACATATACTGTAAGCTTTTGCAGAAAACGTGCGTTGCTCTGTGTGTATTTAAAATACCTTACTATGGTGAAAAGAATCTATCTAACCCCAAACTGCTAGGGATTAGGACAGAGGGAATCCGGAGTTGGACTCAAATCAATGAAATTTCATCCTACTTCTTTCTTTCTTTTTTTTTTTGTCTTCCTGAACCAGGGTCTCACTATGCAGTTCAGGCTGGTCTTGAGCTCACTTTGTGCCCAGGCTGGTCTTGAACTTGCAAGGATCCTCCTGCCTCAGCCTCCCAAGTGCTGGGATTACAGGGTGCACCACCACGCCCGGCCATCCTACTTCTTAACATTCTCATTAGGATCTGTATTACTTCATGCTTTCCATTTATAGAAAGACACAAAAATACCTGATTTATGGATTTGCACAGTGCCTTGCAAAATGTCCCATGACTGGCAGTCACACATACTTGCCTTCCAGCCTGCCCTCGTGGAAGACAGTACAGCATCACACCCACGCTCAGGGCCGTTTTAGGGTTAATCACAATCAGCTGAAACACAGGGCTGCCCGAGGACTCAGTCTCTTTGGCACAAGGATGACTCAGGAGGGCAAACAGGAGCCCCTATTAGGAGAAAAACAACCAAATACACCATCAAAAGTATGTAGGCAGCTGGGCGTGGTGGTGCACGCCTGTAATCCCAGCACTCAGGAGGCTGAGGCAGGAGGATCATTGAGAATTCGAGACCAGCCTGGGCTACAAAGTGAGCTCAAGGCCAGCCTGAACTGCACAGCGAGACCCTGTCTCAAAAAGACAAAAAACAAGAAACAAAATAAAACAAAAAAGCATGTTGGCAGACATAAAAACCGAACTCCACAATGTAATCATTGGCTCCAAGTCCTTCTCTTCAGAAGGGAGCTGCTGAGACTGTCACCAGCCTGACTTCCCGTTTCTCTAGCTCAGGGCACTTTGCACACCAGCGTCACACAGCGCGAGCCGGCTGGCTCATCAGTGTCTACTGCAGACACTCGTCCCCACTAGGGCAAATGTCGCGCAGGCAGAGGACGCGGAGACGTGTTGGCCTTGCAGTGCACTGAGCACCCTCACCTTTTTTTTTTTTTTTTAGACAGAGTCTCACCATGTAGCTCACATTAGCCTCAAACTGCTCATCCTCCTGCCTCATCCTTCGAAGTATCAAGGATTGTAAGTATGTACCACTGCACCTGGTGAAAATGAACTTTTTTGGTTTTATTTTTCTGACACAGGGTCTCACTCTGTAGCACAGACTGGGCTTGAACTCCTCCTGTCTCAGCCTTCTGAGTGCTGGGACAACAGGTATGCGCCGCTATGCCTGGCTGAAGTTTTTTTTTTTGGTTTTTCTCCGGTACCGGGAACCGAACTCATGACCTTGCGCTTGCCAGGCAGGCGCTTTGCCGCTGAGCTAAATCCCCAGCCCCTTG